CATACCAAGCTTCCCTTCCTCTTTCACTTGACTTAATATCTCAGCATTTTGTTTCTGAACTGGGAAATTACAGTAAAGATGGAATGAAATAATGAATATAAGGTGGATTTTTTGAGATTTTTTTTTTTTTTTTACTTTCTGTGGGGCTAGTGGAACAAAAAGTTGAATCTACAGAGCCTTCCAATAAGTCATATATACATATACATTTAGTGACTTCATAATGTTATTATATATTATGTATATTTAACAGTTTGTACTTCTATACTGCTGGTGCTAAGTATATTCCAGACATTCAGTTGAAATCTGTTTTTCTTTTCTTTTATTTTCTTTTTTTAGGGAAAAGATGTCAGAATATAGGATCCTTGGTTTTAACATGTTTGTTTCTATCTGATTTTAAAAATCCTTAGATTTGGGGTCAGATCTAGCTTGGTCTGAGTATTAGCTCCCTCCCTTGATGACTGAGTTACCTTGATTTTCTCTTTTTTTTTTTTTTTGGACATTAGTCTTTGTTTCCCAATTTATTTGTAACATTTTGAGACTCCAATGCATTTTTATGGCATACATATATTACTATAGTTACATAAAAGTCACATTTCATTCTAAAGCAAAGATGGATGATAGATAGCCTGTCGATCTCCATCCCCCCCAGTGAAAGCAGAATGTGGAGTATGGGCTTACCAGTATAATTTGAGATAGCAATTGAAGTGAGATAAAGAGTAGTTTAGTGTGTATCAGAATACTAAATAGGAATCAAGAAGCAGAGATGTATCCTAAAATTCATGGTGTAACCTTGAACATGTTAATTTTTTTACTATTCTTATTCCTTTATGGTAAAACAAGAATGATATTCACATCTTATCTATCTCATGAGGATGTGCCAGTGCTGTAAATGAGACCAGAGACAGCATTGGCACAGCACTGGATTTTTTGAGATTTAAATCTCGTTCCACATAGACCATGAAGCCCATGGGGAGGAAGGATGATAGAGCAAGTGTGGTTCCCTAAGAGAATTGGGCATGTTAAAAAGGAAAACTAGGGAAATGTAACAGGAAATACTGTTGAGAGTGTTCATGACACTTTTTTAACTTCATAAGAAACTAGGCCATGGGTCCAGCTGAGCCAGAAGGAAGATTGAAGCTTAAAGGAAGTTCTGAGGTCTGAGGCATAGCAATGGCCAAATCCACCCTCAGCTGGGCTGCTTTAGCCCTAAAGGGGATGTAGGGATGGCTTTTCTATCTCATTCCCAGGCAGAGAAGAGAGCAGTGCATACTTTACAGAAAGATCCACAAAGCCCTGAGAGCAGATTCAGCTCAACTGCTACTCTCTCTCTTACCCCTGTCTCCACCTTGTCTCTTCAAGGCTGTGGTCTGGAAAACCTCTGGACTGGCAGGCTTTGTCCCAGGATCGTCTAGGGAAATCCAATATAAAGCCACTGACCTCTAAAATGAGGACAATTTCCAAAATGATAAGGCAAGATAGATTTTTCTTTGCGTAATTAAGCAATTGCCACTGACAACAGTGCCATTGTATGATTTGCATTTGGGCTAATGCTTATAATCTTAGCAAGTGTTTCACCAGTGCTACATGATTAGGAAAATTAAATGCTGTATCGCCTTGAATACATAATTCTGTAAAGAAACAGAACTCAACTGGATTCTGGAACTTCTAAGAGTAGAGGAAAGAGAAGGCAAGGAAAGGAAGGAAAATTTATAATCTCACGTTTCTAATCAAAGGACGTGGTTACAGTAATGTAAAGGTCTGTAGTCTCTTATCTCAATTGTGAAATTATAAAGCTCTATAAAATGGAAGCAATTTTTTTCATTAATTTTATGCCAAAACTCACTTGACAGCAAAACTTGACCTGAGTTGTCATGAACTTAGTCTTTATCCTTTGTAGTATGAATATTCAGACATTTGTTCCGACAGGAATGTTAATGGCTTAATTATGGGATGTTTCCCAGACATTGCTGAAGGTATTGTATAATAAACAGTACATACTCTATGTTACCTTTCTAAAAATCTGAAAAAAATTAAATGCTAAAACACACATAACAGCTTGTGAACCTACAATAGTAATAGCTAACATTTATGGAGGGTGGGTGCAGTGGTTCATGCCTGTAATCCCAGCATTTTGGGAGGCCAAAATAGGTGGATTTGGGAGAGTGGATTGCTTGAGCCCAGGAGTTCAAGATCAGCCTGGAAAACATGTTGAAACCTTGTCTCAAAATAAATAAATAAATAAATTAGCCAGGTGAGGTGGTATGTGCCTGTAGTCCTAGCTACCAGGGAGGCTTAGGTGGCAGGATTACCTGAGCCCTGGAGATCGAGGCTCCAATGAGCCATGAACATGCCACTGCACTTCAGCTTAGGCAATAGAGTGAAGCTGTCTCCAAAAAAAGTATGGAAAACCTGCTATATGCATGAAGCTGTGCTAATCTCTCTTCATCTCATTTAATTTTCATAACATTAGAAGGCAGGTATTATAATCATGTCCATTTTAAAATCTGGAAACTGATTCTCAAAGAGGCTAAATAACTTGCTCAAATTCACAAAGCTCATACATCAAACCAGGTCACTTTGGGTTTAGAACTGACATGCTTAACTGCTGAACTGTACCACATGGGAGAGATGAGCAGCAGTGAAAGACAGTGTGGACTCTTCATGTGCTTTATGTGGAGGTAGAATAGGGTACCACCCATTCTGTTATTTGAGAGCCAAACTTCTACCTCCAAATATGTCCTCTCCTAATCTCTACTTCTCTGTGATATTGCTAATAATGCTTTATTCTTTGAGATTCATCTGGACAGTGTTTTTCACAAGAGCCACCTGCATCAGAAATCAACTGGTTAGCTTGTTAAAATACAGATTCCTGGGATCCATCCCAGACTTAATGAATCAGAATTGCTAGGGGCTGAGTCTGAGTTGATTCTTATGACATTAAACTTTGAATGAACAGTAAATGCCCTGAGAAAAGCCAATCATTAACCCTTATCGAACAATATCTTAGCTATCAATTGACACCTAGCTGGAATGGCAAAAATGAACTGATTGATGGGCACCTAGGAAGTGGAAGATGTCTGGAAGACAGATCAGGAAATTAGAAGGGTGAGATATGGAAAGGAAATTAAAAAGAAGGGTATGATAGTATCTCCCTACTTTGACAATATGTGGTAAGGGCGGAGTCTCACCACCAGCCATTTTTCATCTACACTGGAAACATTTTGGAAGTAAATCTTTCATTTTTTGCTGCTCAGAGCACCACTCTCTTATCTCATTGATATAATCACCTTCTGAGGTAAGCAAAATAGCAATCTTCACTAGGTAAAAAAGGAAACCAAGACCCAAATGAGTTCTTCAGGGTCATCCAACTGATTAATGCTAGTGGTTGGATTCATGTTTCTGGCCTCTAATCTCATACTATTTGTCAGCCAATAATTTTGTCATAGGTCTAGAGAAAAGGAACCATCAAATAAAACCTAAGGAAGTCAAGTCTTACATTTTAGAAGATTCAATGATACATATTTTTTCCACCAATGGACAATTTAAACGCATTTAAATAGTGTGCTACACAAGGAAAGAGCAATGAGAGGAATTGAAGTGCAGAATAGTTCAACTGCTATCATATGTTCAGGGTTGTTTTTAACTTTTACTGATTGCTTTATTTTTGTTATCAATACTGGAAAGACTGTTGAACATTTTTATCTTTTTACTTTTAAAAATATTCAGTTCTTGTTTGCTAGGTTTTCAACCTTAACTCTTAGTCTTGCATGCCATTTCCATGGCAAGAAAATATGACCTCAGACAGGGACTAGAAAGATAGAAAACATGGGTTAACTGCCATCATAGCAATCATATCCCTACAGCAATGCAGGCTAGGCTTGGGGCAGTAGTGGTCAAGTCCAATCAGTGATTATTCTAACTCAAGCTAAGTGCTCTTTAGAGCAGCATTTCTCAAACTTTAACACACATTCTAGTCACCTTGGGAATCTTATTAAAGTGTGAAAAATGATTTAGTAGTTCTGCGGTGAGACCCAAGTTCTGCATTTCTAACAACCTTTCTGGTAGTGCCAATGCCACTTGTTCCCACATCACATTTTGAAGAGCCAGTTGCCTGAACCATCATCATGTCTAAGCAGTGTACAAATGAGCACATTTATGGTCTTGGGGGAAGTACCATTTGGACAGCAGCCGTGATGAGCATGACAGCCATGATATTAAGTAGCTGTGTGACCTTGGGAAAATATCTTTACCTTTCTGGGTCTCATTTTCTTATCTGCAAAATTATGAATTTTGCCTGGATGATCTCCTGAGATCACTTTGGGTTGTCAAATTTTTTGACTCGCTGATGGAAAAAATGATACTTTAGAACAGAAGTGTCCAATCTTTTGGCTTCCCTAGGCCACATTGGAAGAATTGTCTTAGGTCACACATAAAATACACTAATGATAACTGATGAGCTTTTAAAAATCTCATAATGTTTTAAGAAAGTTTACAAATTTATGTTGGGCTGCATTTGTGTTGGGCTGTTCACAATGTTTTTAAAAAGTTTACATATTTGTGTTGGGCTGCATTCAAAGCCATCTTGGGCTGCATGATGTGGCCACAGGTTGACCAAGCTTGCTTTAGAACAAAGGTTTGGTCTGAGACAAATGGCCTTTATATTACAAGGAAAGGGAAGGAGGAGAGAAAGGTACTGTGACTGTTGTATATATCTTCTTAATCACAAGTCCTTTTTGTGTTCTAAGGTAATTTATTTCTTCCAAATGCAGAACATTGGCCTTCTCCATGAAGAAGAGGCAACATTGAGTGGTGGACAACATTTTTTTACATCTCTCCAATTCAGCTGTTAGCATCTCCTAGTGTCTTCTTCATAGCTAACAGCTTTGGCTACTTCCTCATGATACTGCCTCTCTGATCACAGAGGAAATCCACTGTCTGTTCATTAGTTTCCAGTACTAGTGCTCAATTCTACTCAATCCCACCTGATTCCAGGAGATATAATGGAGAAGTGCACAATTCTTCAGGCAGAGAATCTGATTCTACAGCCTCAAATGCAGCATCCAACCCTGGATAACCTTGCTAAAAGGAGGCAAGTCATGCCTGTCTTGGCCACCACAGTGATGCCTGCATCCTACTGACTTGAGCATCTCACCCAGTTTCATGGTGACCCTGCCAATCAATCAGAGTTCGTTGCTCAGGTGACTACCTACTTGACAGCTCTCCAGATCTGTAATCCTGCAAATGATGCCCAGATCAAGCTCTTTTTTGATTACCTGCTTCAGAAGTTAGAAAGCTGTGGGATAGTATCTGGGCCTGACAAGACTACCTTACTGAAGCAATATGATAGTTTTATTCTTGAGTTCCAGCAGTCACTTGGTGAACCCACAAAACAGGAAATGAATCCTCTAATGAATGATAAGGTTGACAAAGGGGACAACTCCTCTCAACAGGACCCTGCTACTTTCCAGCTCCTTGCTCAAAATCTGATCTGTAATGAAACCAATCAGAATGATCAGTTTGAAAAGGCACTAGCTGGTCCCAACCAGGATGAAGACAGTGTCAGAGGTATCATGGACAGTCTTCCAGACCTGATCACTCAGTGCATTCAGTTGGACAAGAAGCATAGTGTCAAGCCAGAGCTCCTACAGTCAGATACCCAGTTTCCAATGTTGACCTCCTTGATCCAACACCAAGCCCTTGTTAGCCCCACAGATCCACCACCCAAAAAAGGGCCTATGCAGCTGCGAGAAGGCCAGCTGCCTCTTACCCCAGCCAAACGAGCCTACCAACAAGAAACTCAGTTGTGCCTCTACTGCAATCAATCTGGTCACTTCACAAGAGATTGCCTTGCCAAACGTTCTCGAGCTCTAGCAGTGACAAATAACACAGCTCACCAGTAAGAAGAGATCAGGAAAGTCACTTTTTAAACTTATATCCCTCTCACTCCCACCCTTACCAATTTATATCCTGCATTAACTTTTAAAATACAAATGGAGAACTGTGATACCACTTTAGAGGCAGTTATGAACTAAAATGCTTTGGAGAATTTAAATAATCAGATCTTGTTCATTGGCAAGTGACCCCTCATGAAACCTAACTCAAGAATGATGAAAACAATTCACAGGCACTTTCTGCAGTTGGAATTAATTCTCCAAGACTACCAAAAACCTGCAGGCAAAACTGCCCAGTCTAAGCCACTGAAAATAATCATGGAAGTACATTGGGAACCTTATCCTCAATGTAGTCACCAATGGCCTTTATATTACAAGGAAAGGGAAGGAGGAGAGAAAGGTACTGTGACTGTTGTATATAATGGGTTGCGTTTGTTGGCCCAGGTCCTGTATATTGTGTGCCTAGAACTGAACCCAAGCCTTCACATTTACTCTTATTTGCCTGCATCCTAATTTCCTGTTGGCTTAGGACCTTTGGCTGAAGTCCAAATGACATTCCTATATTCTGCTAATATTCTCCTCCTAGAGTTTGGACCATGCTTCACCTATTGACTAGGACTTAGCTTCAGCATAAATCAACCTTCCTGGAACCACAGCTCTGCCACCCTTCTATAGAGCCGTGTATTTTGTTTCCATCTAAAGACTCACGCTTTCCCAACAAACAGAACCTCCTGGCTATTTACAAACCAGATTGTATGGGCATTTGAACACTGCATGGAACTATTGATCCCTTTTTTTGCAGGCTAGCCCATCAGTCAGGTACATATTTTAGCCAAGACCACCAATTCCAGCTTACTCCTCTCTTCTCTAACATTCCTACTTGAGGTTCCATCATGTCTTATAGCCAAGTAAATATGCTCTAGGATAAGAAGTTCTTTTTTTTCTTTTCTTTTTTTTTTTAAAGGCTAGTCAAGTGAAGCAGTGGGAGTGGAGAAGGAACAAAGAAATCTGTAACTGGTTGTGATCAATTAGTTGCAAACACCACTGCACTCGGACCAGCCAAGATAAGAATTTCTGAAAGGTATTTAGTGAGAGCTGGGGAAGGCATCTCATAATTACTGTGTCTGTAGCATGTCCTTACTGCCTTGGACAGAGGATCTGGCCAAATATATCACCACTGATAGATAGCCAGACCCTGAAGTAGTTCCTGATGCTAGAACCTTCAATGTAGTCACCATCTAGGATTACTGTTCATTGCTATTGAGCTCTACCTTCATGGACCACCTCTGGTGTCCTCCATCTAATTGAGGATCTTAAAAAATAATGAATGGCAAACAACTTCCTAAACTATCTCATCTGAAAAATCCTGGGGCACATACATTGAAACCATCTGTGCACAAAACTCGGGAAGTCGGGATTTTATCACTTATGTTTTAAGAAAGTTTACAAATTTGTGTTGGGCTGTACTCTTAGTACACACAAGTTCTGTGTATAGATTCCTTATGCTTCTGAACAAAAGTAGTGTTATGCTAGAAAGACACAACTCCCTAACATGTTAAGACTATTCAGCGATGATTACTGTTTGCTAGTAATTGACAACCCTCTGTTCCCTGCTTCTTGCTGCTGATGTATGTCCCCAAAATGGATATCCTGGAGAAATATCAGTAATCACACATTCCCTAACAACCATCAAGGCATCTCAGAACATGCAATACCATTGTACTTTGGCTTTGTTTCTGGAGAATTGTGCTAACTTTGACAATGCTTAAACCTGCTAGAACCTTACTACTCTCATTCTGTAACACCAACAAACCAATGTTTTCACCCATTAGTGCCTTGCTAGCCACTGTGCCAATCTAATTTGCATTCACAAAGGGTTTTCTTTAACAACAGCTTGCTATACAACCAAATTACTCTATATGCTCCCACCACAGAGACCTGAATGAACATATTCCAGTTATGCTAATAAATTCCGACTATAGTACTGGGATTGTACGACATCCTCTAACAAGTAGAGCTATTGAATTTAGAGTGACTCTGAAATTACCTGGAACTATTTTGATCTATTTCCATCAATTCTATAATAAAGGACTAACCTCATGGCCTCTGGTCACTTTCCTTACCAAACCCAGCATGGTCTTAGAATGCTGAGAGAAACATTCAGTTGTCTTAATCAACAATCTTTCCTTATTTTAGGGCCACAATTCATCATTTTGGGTTCTTTCCCAAAGATACATTACTTTATTTCATGTTTGGATATTCTCTTTGCAACAATGTTACCTTCTTTCCCTAGAAACCTTCAGACCTCATAGCCTCTCAGAAAATATAACCAATCCAAGGCTATGAACTTCAGTTCACCCTCCACTTCTGGGGATCCCTTATTGAGGTATTCCAAATCAAAGATCTCTTGTACACTATGCAATACAATCCAACAGCCAGACTGAGCATATGAATGAGATGCTGGAATAAATAATGCTTTACTATCTACTAGCTAGCAACTATTTTACCCATTCAAAATTTTTGTCATAGTGACACCATGTATTATATGCCATCCTTTTCAACTAGAATGACTCATGATTTAGCATAAAGAGAGTTACAAGGGTGTGTCCTCAGAAATTATAACTATGTGAATTTCTATGAGAGTAAAAATATTTATAATCTACAGAGAACAGAAGAATTATAATCTACTCAGAGATACAGTCAACAACTGCAATGGCTTGGGGAACCACCAGGTCCAACCAAGATTGTAGCTTTAAGGAAGCAGATCTGCTCCATATTGATGCCACTTGGCGAGATAGAATCTAATCATTTTATGATAAGTCTGAAGAATTTGTTAATGAGAGTATAGCATTCATGGAGCACAGAAAAGCAAGAACTTAAATAAAAAGAACATTGGTAAGCCCCCTAGATTCAGAGATGAGTTGTTGACCACCAGACTATTTGGTGTGTCCATCCCTGCAATGGCCATCCCAATTTGTGTCAGTCATTAAGATGGTCACCTAACCCATTGCTCTGATTCCATGGTCTCAAAGTAATTTGATTGTAATTAGTTTCCCTTATGAACTTTGTTATGGAGAGAATATTTGCTAACCAGCTGAAATGAATGTTCTAGCCTATTTCAGATTTAATTCTCATTATAATTGAATAAATTGGTGTTTGGCTTATACATCAGTTTTTGTGGGGTTAAATAGCATCTATCCTGATTCTAATCACCTCTGAGTACACTGAAAAAAAAAAAAAAAAGATTCTCATTTTGCAAAGTCAGTACCATAGTGTGAGTCACAGTGAGTCTACTGAACATTGGCCTCCCTGGGAACTTTTCCCCAACAGTCAGCCAGCTTCCCTCATCTCCCTCATTTGTCTATAGCTGTAAGAAAATTCCTAAATACCTACAATTTTCACTTTCTGTATTTACCTTCACTTGCATCCTGCCATAAGCAATTGCCTTTTATAATATTTCATAGTTCAGTCTACCTGTCAGAATAATCTGGCATGGATGAAACATAACACATGACTGTAGACATGAGCCACTGAAATACACCATTAGAGAGGGAGAAGTGTGTGACTGGCCTCATTCTCACCACTTCCATTCTGTCCAGATGACAATGCACAAGACCCATACTGTCACTGTCCTTAGATTTATGCAGGATGATGCAACAAACATCACCCTTTTTTTTGAATTCTAGAAGATAATTTCTAGAATAATGTCTAGAATGATGATTCTCACAACATCTTGCCTATGACCACAATAGTCATCTCTGAAGCAAAATAAAGAACTTAGGATATGAAGAATTTCTACCACCATCTGGACAAAATCTAACATCTCATGCCCTTAAAAGGGCTCTGGGTGCTTGTTTCATATCTGTATAACCCTTTCACACTGGTGTCACATTGGTGGCCTGTTTCATTGCCTCCCTATGATGGTCCAAACTTCATTTGGCCAAGTGAATGGAAAAACCTTCAAGGGACCTATGCAACAATCTTGCATGTTCTTCATATGTACCCCCAAACCTAAAATGCAATTAAAATATTAAATTAAAAAAAAAACCTTCAAGAGAATTTAGGGTCATGGATCTTCAATGTCATCTTAGGTCAAGAGTCACTGACCACATTTCAAAACCAAGAGTCCCAGAAGTGAGTTACACCATTTACTAGAGTCATGAGAACTACCTTAGTCAACATGTCTTAGTACCCAGATCACACTGTACCATCATTTACATCCACTACCATTTTGAGCATTCATACTTATTGGTATAACTTCCTGGTATCAGCTGTGTTTCTTAGGTCTGTTTGGACTTGCTTCCCGCTCATTGATTTCTAGTATTTACTCTACATAGCTCTGGTTCTCTTATCTAGCCAGCTCAGTGATAAGTTAGTTGTGACTATATTCCAAAATCCCACTTGCTTCATAGTAACCCAGTGAAGGACTATGTAGAATTTCAGTTCTCTCTATACATAGAAGACTCATCCCTTTAGGCATATAATGAGGATTTGCAGACATCTAGAGAAAGGGAACTAATAGTTGGTGAATGCCTACTTTATGCCAGGCACTGTGCTGAAAGCTTTATTAATGATGCCTATTTAAATACCATATCACTAAAAGATGGAATATCCGTTTCTGGCATTTAATGCTCACCACACCTTTATGAGATAGGTGCTATGAATTCAATTTAAAGATGATGAAACTAAGATTTAGAACAGTTAGGTAACCTTCTCAAATTCATCAAGCAGTAAGTGGCTAAACTAGAATTTGAACATGTATCTTTTTGATGCCAGGGCCTTGCGATCTCTGATAGAAACTCTCTAATTCATACCCCTCCTGATTACCATAACTTACTAATTACACATCCCATAAGCACTTCATGAAGAGAGGCTACTCTAGTAACTGGTATTCACATAACCACTGATTGAAACTCTTGTTCTAAACAACAGTCTACAAAAGAATCATGAAACAAATCAACAACTTCCAGGAATTCGTAATTTCATTTGTGTTTCTAATGAGTTGGGGA